AGGAAACTCTGGCGTGCGCAGGGCGATTCTCTGCTGTGTTTACCTGCGTTTCCTCTGCCTCGTCAGAGATCTTGACGGTGCAGTTTCGCTGTGACTCAGCCGTGCTGAGTGCTGTGGAAAGGCGGTGGCTGCGCTACTACACCGAGCTTCATGAATGAAGAAAACACCTTTTCCTAAAGAGTGTCCGGGGGCCGTGGGTGTAGCGCTGAACCTTTAGGAAACAGCTTTTGTCTTTGCCAAGAAGATCTCTTCAGGAAGGAGAACGTGTTACTCAAAAGCCATTCGTGTGCTTTTACCCCACTCCCACCAAATTCTGAGAATGGCAGGTTCACAAGAACCAGCGGGGCAGCAAACGCTGCTTCTGCACTAAAACACAGGCCCGTGGGCAAACGCTTTCTCCCAGAATGTGCCATGGGGAAAGGTTGGTCCTGGACACGGTCCTGGGCAGGGTTTGGGGTTGGATGTCCTCAGGGTCGCATCACTGGACCAGGGTGGCAGCTCACCCTGATAATTGAATGGGTTTTTCTTCTCTTGGCAAGGTTTGACGTCACAAATTATTACTTTTTTATTTTGCCTTCTTGGTCTCTGCATTGCTTTTGGACAGAGGGACACTGTGTAGCACCATCCCTGGAGGGTATCACCATCCATAGAGGGGTGTCACCATCCCTGGAGGGTTATCACCATCCCTGGAGGGGTTTCACCATCCCTGGAGGGGTGTCACCATCCCTGGAGGGGTGTCACCATCCCTGGAGGGTTATCACCATCCCTGCAGGGGTATCACCATCCCTGGAGGGGTTTCACCATCCCTGCAGGGGTATCACCATCCCTGGAGGGGTATCACCATCCCTGGAGGGGTATCACCATCCCTGGAGGGTTATCACCATCCCTGCAGGGGTTTCACCATCCCTGCAGGGGTATCACCATCCCTGGAGGGGTTTCACCATCCCTGGAGGGGTTTCACCATCCCTGCAGGGGTTTCACCATCCCTGCAGGGGTATCACCATCCCTGGAGGGTTATCACCATCCCTGGAGGGTTATCACCATCCCTGGAGGTGTCCAAGGAACACCTGGACGTGGCACTCAGTGTTCTGCTCTGGTGACAAGGCTGGGATCAGTCACAGGTCAGAATTGATGATCTCAGAGGTCGTTTCCAGCCTCAGTGATCTGTGATTCTGTGATTTTCTGCACTATCTATTCTA